TTGGAAAAATTAACTTAGGTGTTTGGTACTTTGGTTACAAGGATAAGAGATTACAATCTTGGATAAATGTAGGGCATTTTATTCCGTTATAAGTAATCCCATGATTATTTAAACAACAAGTGTTATTCTTTTGCCACAATCAATATAGACAACAATACCAAGATTAATAATCCTGGAGATAAAACAAGAAAGTGACATATGTCCTCTTCCAGAACTCTTTTTCCAAAGTTCTTCAAGAAACCCAAGACTAAAATTGAAAATAGAAGTTCATAAAGCCAAACACATGATTCAAATTATACCCGGTAAATCACATTTTCAGTCCAATGAACCAAAGATCTAACAATAAAAGAACACCCGCTAAATAATCTCGTTATTATTTAATCGCCGTAATCCCCACATTGTAATCACACAAACCAAATGACCCCTTAGGCCTTAAGTGTCTGATTATTTCAACTCTTCAACCTCTAGCCCATCTCCCTGAGGACTTTGTTAAGATGTATTACTATTACTTCTTGGACTTTTTGTCCTGATAATCGTGGTGCGGAGCCAATTTGCACGCACCTCGACAAATTCCACAGGATTCCTATCACCTCCCACCAATCAAATAATCCCTCAAGTGTTTGAATCGTTCAACTCTTTAACCTAGTCTGTCTCCTTGGACCTGGTTGATATGTATTACTATTACTTCTTAGATTATTATTATTTTGATAAGTGTGGCATCCAGGCAAGGTTAAGTACACCTCAACTAATTCCACGAAATATCTGTCCCATGAGTCACCTCCCTCCCACCAGCAAACGATAACAGGTAACTCTATGCACAAATGCTAAAACAGATAGAAGAAATATTCTGTCTGTGCCGGAAATTTAACCTGAAACTGCTCAACCCAGTTCATTCACATGCTATTACTACTTTGAATTTGGTTTCTTGATATATACAAGGAATGATTTTCGGCAGCAGATGCAAAAAGGAGGCACAAAAGAGAGAGAAATTACCTGATACTAAGGGCTCCTTTTGCCTTGTTGCAGCAATAGGGCTCGACGGTATAGTGATGGAGACGGCGGTGACGGTGACGGCGACGGCGGGCGAAACTGATGAGTAGTGCACAGCGATGATAACCCCTCCTTAATATGAATTCATGTGTAAATATTTAAACCCGATTTATCATGATAATTGAATTTGGTGTAATTATGTATAATTACATTTATTGAACACTCATATAATTTAAAATTTATATTTCCTTTAAATCACTTTACTTTCTTTTCTTTTTTTACGTAAAAGGTCATAAATACTCCCTTAACTAAATTATAGGAGTAGGTCAAAAATATCTCATAACCATATTTTTGTCGTATTTAATCCTTTTAACTATTCAAAAACTTATCAATTTTGATCTCTTATTTATACACTTATCGATTTTAGTTCTTTAAGTATTCAAAACTTATTAATTTTGGTCTCTTAACTATACACTTACTGATTTTAGTCTTTTAAGTATTCAAAAACTTATCAGGTTTGATCTTTATTTTTTTTTATAATACAAATAACTTGAGTTTGTATTAACAGAACTCTTCGTGAAATTAAATATTTAATCCATTTTTAAGTTGTTTCTCTATTCCCACTGTTTTTTCTTCAAATTACTCTAATGAAAAGAACAATAACCTCAACGATTCAAAAAAAAATTAATGAGGAAAAAAATATAAATCCTAATTTTATCAATGGAGTACAAAATGAAGCATATAAGTGTTGCTAGTGACTTGAAATCTTGAATATGTTGTGTTCTTTTCTTTGGCAGTTAACTGTTCATAATCCGTGCAAATTTTTTAAATTTTATTTTTCATGCAAAATAAAAATAAGAGAATTGATCTTATAACTCAAATTTCTCTACATAAAATACAATGAATAGAATAATAAAATCAATCTATTAAAAAGTAAAAATAAAAAGTTAAAAATCTACCATTTTATAAATTTCATACTCTGAAAAATCAAACAAATTTCCTTCAATAAAGTCATTGGAGTACAAAATTTGGATTTAATTTAACGGGTAATAAAAAAAATTTCTTTTTTTATAATAAAATTTAGCATATTCAAGTCACTAGTAGCAATAATATGCTTTATTTTATTGTATGTTGAATGAAATTATGATTTCTATTTTCTTTTCTCGTGAATTTTATTTTGAATCGTTGAGGTTAAGGTTCTTTGCATAAAAAGTAGCGCAGAAAGAGAAATAACCAAAAAAATGACTAAATAATTTAATTTCTCGAGACATGAATTTTGTTAGTATAAACCTGAGTTATTTGTATAAAAAATGGACAGAGACCAAATCTGATAAGTTTTTAAATAATGGAAGGACTAAAACAGATAAATGTATAGTTAAGGGACTAAATTTAACAAGTTTTTGAATAGTACAAGGACTAACTCCGATAAAAATATAGTTAAGGGATTATTTTAAACCTACGCCTAAGTTAATAGACTATTTATGGCATTTTATCTCTTTTTTACTATTATATCTTATATAATGTCCCTTAAAATTGTGAAGTCTTTCATTTTGACGTTTAAATTAGGACTTGTTTTTATTGAATTCATATGCAATTCAAAATTTATATTCCTTTAGATCACTTACTTGTCATTTTACTTTCACTAAAAATAGATAACGTAAAATAGTTGTTACTTAAGAAAATCAAAACATAATTGAGTATATTTTTTCAATTTGGCATGTAATAATTATTATTCTTGAAAGTCCTAAAATAGTCCACGGATTAAAATTTAGTCCATTTTTAATACATTGTTTGGTTACTTTATTTAAGTTAATCCATGGATTGCTTATCCAACATATATGGTCTTATCTTATCCCAAGAAAATGGAGGGATAGCTAATCCAAGGTTTAACAAACCTTGGAAAAGACTCCTAAATGACAAACTATCCCCTTATTCTTTTTCCTAAATTTCTTTTGTAATTTAATTTTCTTTTTATTTATATTGGAATGGTTATACATGTTCTTTTTAATTCTCCAAATCCGTTTAGTGTAATTTAATTATTTCACTAATATTTTTTTCTCCATTTTTTCTCCATTTTTTCTTCAAGGTAGTTTGTCGATTAGCCACTTGAACTATTATTTTTTTTAATAAGATTTAGGTATTGAACAATTTAAGTAGTCTTAAATCTATGTTAAGTTTAAGATATATTTGACCAACAAAAATTAGAAATACACCGTGCCATCAAGGATCTCTTTTGTGCTATATCAAACCTTAAAATTAATAACTATTATATATATATATATATATATGGAATATATAATCCTAAAAAAAAATATTGTCCGGCGATTATCTACCTTGACCCAATTACATGAAACAAACAATCTCAAAATAACACAAGGGTATAATAGGAAAGATTTTTTTTGTAGAGTTTTAAATTAAACACAAGATTAAGTGGAAAGTAATGAACCAAACACTTGACAAAACATAATCCATGCACTACTAATTCATGCGTTACTAATCCCTGCGTTACTAATCCCTGCATTACTAATCCCTGCATTATCAATGTTTGTACCAAACGACCCATAAGTGAAGAGCACATAGAACATACTCTAATATTGTGATTGCTTAGATTATTATTTTATTATTTATTGAAAAGAAAACAATTTTTTTAAATGATTAAAATAATATAATAATCAAAATACATAGTTACGTAAGGGGTGTATAAACAAAAAATATGACATATAAATTGATGTTGAGTATGCACCTCCCCCCGCCCCCCTAACCTAGAGAAATGGAGAAGATAGATAAGCATGTGGCCTTCACGGATCTAAAACATGACTCACTTTAAATTGAATAAGATTTGATGCTGGGCGATTCATTTCTCAACTGAAGTGTACATGTTGTATGTGTAGAAAATAAGGTTAGTTACAAAAATCAAGTAAAGTCTAGATTTGTTCTCCATCTAGTACCTAGGGCAAGTGAAAAGCAATACATATATCTAATGTGAAACAAATATACACTATGTCGAGGAGAAATAATATGTGAAGTCTAGAAGATAGATGCAAGTCAGTTAAAAAGATAAAATGATGATATGCAAACTGATATACTATTGTAATGCACAATAACAAAATTTGAAACTATGGGGGAATAACTCTAGCCCAATCATCCTATCGTGCACAATAACAACACATCATAACTATAAGGATAACTCTGATCCAACCGTCTTACCATTTCGACTGTGGATGGTGGCTCTGGATCAACGTATTGTCGAGAGTCTTTGCCGAATATAAAATGTAACTCTAGCCCAATCATCATATACGTTCAAGGGTGACATATAAAATAAAACAAATACATCAATTATAAGACTAAATAGACAAACAATTATATAAGACAAACAATCGTATATTTTAGAGATATCACATCACCCCCAAATCTCATTGGACCAAATGAATTATGATTTTAACAAATATGTCGAGCACATTCTCACTTCACACAAGCATCAGACAATAAAAAAAATACAAGCAAAGATCAAGCTCAAAAGAAAAACACTCAAAATTGATGTCTAAAATCAAAATATTAAACTCTCTTATATAAAAAATATGATTTCAAGTTAAAATTGTAAAGGAGTGATCACATATACATCGAGTTTTAAATATTGCAATATTTGTCTTAAGATTTTCTTGATTAAAAAAAAAAGAGATACAAAAAGACTCATTTTCTAATATATGAATCAATTAAATGTGAAATTTAAAATAATTGATTATTTAAAACTTTTGAATTGAAATTAGAAAATATATTAGTGAGAAACACAATTTTTTTTACATATAGAAAAAATAAATATAAATTATGAGAATACAAATATATGATTTAATTTCTTATCAACTTACTCACTCCTATCTCTACCAATTTTCTTTCAAAAAATGTTAAAAGATTTGATTTTTTCAATTAATATATATTACTTATATACTAAACTAAGTTTTTTTTTTGGGCCTTAAATATTTTGGAGTGGGGTGGGGTGTGTGTGGGGGGGAGGGTTCACTTAGTTCTTGCCAAACACCATCTGCACTTTGTTCTCTCCGCCCGAATTCGTTTTTTCTTTATTATAACAAACCAACTTTTCACCTATTCTGTGTGCATATATATTTGATTCTTCATCTCCCTCATTATTATACTGCATTTTCTCTTCATTTGTTTGAATCAAGAATCCATTTTTCTTCGTGGGGTTTTCTAGATGGCTGCTATTATACAAGGAATTGGTGCTGCTACTGCACTAACCTCAGCCAATTCTTTGGACACCAAGAAGTCATTTTTCTCCAATTCTCGCAGATCTTTGTCAGGTTTGTTGCAAAGTTTGAATCTTTAGCTAGTATTTGAAATGGGGTTTTGTTAGCATTGTTAAATTTTTGTCCTTTTTTTTTTATTTATTATTCTGGGTTTATCTGATCTTGTTTTTGATCTGTTTCAAGTATTATTTGGTCCATTGAAATAATTTTGTATATTACATTTAGTCATAATTTCAATCATTTGATGGAATTTTATGGTTTGGTTTTGATGCATGTTGTTTGTGTAGTTGGTGCAGAGAGGAAAGGAAGGACTTTTGTGGTTAGATCTGATGGGCGTTTGAGCTATGGTTTGAATGGACGTGGAGGAAGAGCTGAACAATTAATTACTAATGCTGTTGCTGTTAGTATTCTTTTACTCTCTAATTATGATTGTGCGTTTATGTTTGCATATAATCATTTACTAGCAGAAATGTGCAGAAATTAGTACTCCATCCATTTCAATTTGTTTGTCGCACGAAGTATTAAAAAGTAAAGAATACTTTTGAATATTGTGTCCTCAAACTAAAGATACGTAGAATGTATGAAAATGCCTTTTAATTTTTTGGTCTTAAACATGCTACGTGGAAAGTTAAATTGAAGAGTTGCTAAAAAAGGAAAGATCCATTCTTTTTGAAACGTCAATCTCAGAGATCTTATCGGCCGGCAAACCGGAGAAGGACGACTACGGTCATTTTCTATCAGGAACGCTATGCCATTTTCAATCCCGGCATTGAATTGGCAGGTTACCTGATGAAGAAGCTGGGAAGGTACCAGCTGCCTGCGTGGTGTTAAACCAAAATGCTAAAGAGAGCGAAGGGGAAATCATGAACGACCTTTCATGTAATGTAGTACACTATAAGAGAGTTAGAGCACTGCAGTGGACACAATTCAAAAATAACCTTAAGGAAAGGGCAACTATAAAATAAAGAGAAATTGGACTTTTCAAAAAAGTGAAGTAACACAAACAAATTGAGTAAATGTTATTGTTTTGGACTTCGAGATTTGATGTTGTGTGGCTTAATATTTTATGTATTGTGAATGACACTTTAATCATTTATGATGATTGCTCCAAACAAGCGCAAACTTATTGCCAAATGTCTCTTTAATTCTTTTACAGGCTAAAGAAGATACTGCTGCAGCTTCTACTTCATCAAAGCCAGGGTATATTTACTTCTCTTCTGAGTTGTACACACATACAATGCATACATATCTTTATAGTTCAAATTGCTTTCTTGTAGTTGCCACTTCCTTTGTCTCTCGTAATGTTTGTCTTCTAGGTCTCTAATCATCACTTGTTTTGTGAAATTTCATGTCCAAGGTGTAGTTTGTCAGCAGATTAGATTAGTTCTTTTTTTTTTTAAAAAAAAGAAGAAGATAATCTTGGCTGATTTGGGAAATGTTTGACAATCTTGGCTTGAAAAGAAGCTTGGTTGGTAGGATTATGATTTAGTGGAAGCTGATAATCTTGACGGTGTTCTTAAAGGGAATAGAAAAAATAATAGCATTTGCTGTTTTGCTTCAGATGATGTCAGTTCATCCTGCGATGAACATGTCTAATTTTCCTCTTTGTTCTGCATTGTGATAGCGGAAACAAAGTAAGGAGAATGATGGTGGGAGTGATATGTTTTTTGTATTTGGATTAGTACGGGGGGGGGGGGGGGTATAAAAATAAAATAAAGGAAGGACTGCATGATGAATAAAAGCTCAACCTCTGTTTCCAACCAAAAGCAGGCATACATAGAGAGGAAAAACATACTTTTAAGTGAATCTTCTGTTTCAGCCAAGCAAGTCTCCCATGGACCTTTAAGAAAAGAATTATAAGGGTATTAGTCGTGTCTCTCTCTTTTTTTCTTGTGGTACTTCCATTTTTTCATCTACTATTTGCTCCAAATTTATAAGGTTTTTATTTGCCGTGAAATTTTTTGTAAATATTTTATTGAAGTTATTTCCATCTCTAAGAGATTGAATATCGAAAAGAAAAAAATAAACCTAAGAATAAACCTAAGATGTTGCTGAAACTATACAACTATTACAAAGATCAATTTGTATTTCTAGCTCGTAAGGAACTGATGAAATCTTAGATTGTGTCATTATTTATTTAATTTCATATACGCCAAAAATCTACCAAAGAGGCAAACAACTGTATTGAATTCTCAGAATGCAGTCTACCTTGCACTCCATTTTACTGCTTTCTGATTGGAACTTGTCATGTGACTCACAAACAAAAAGAAGAGAAGAGTACCACTATAGGATCCCAAAGAGAAACAACAGAGATCAGCATGAAATGTGGCTCTCTCTTTTGAGATCTTATCATCTCCTATTTGTTATTGATAGACAAATTCTCTTCAACTTTATATCGATTCACTGGGGCCCTTACTAATAGTGTTGTCAACCCTAGTTTAATTTTAAACCTTACAAAGAAATCAGAGCTTTACCTTTGAATCTTGGCAGTTAATATAACACAAACATGTGATAGTTGGGGTGAGAACTAAAATTCAGTTTTATGGAAAACACCGAGTTGAACCAAAGGTTTGTATTTTTAAATCTATAACGTTAGTTAATATTCCGTAAATGTATAACAGAAGAGATGTTATCTGAAGTGGATGCACTTATTGTTGTCAATTCTTTTCCTTGCACTAGCTCCTCTGAGAAAGTCACGATCTAAGTTTTCATGATAGCTGGTTAAGCAATCTTATATTTTAACATCAGAGATCCCTGTGAAGATTGTCATCTTGTCGATCTTTTGACGTCCTTGTACTCTCGGCAAGCTGTCTCCATAGGAGTTGTTCAAAAGGAAGGTTACATCCTTTATAGGAAATTTGGCTTCCTTTCCTACTGCAAGCTCTCTGAGACTTTGATTTTGCTCTCTGCTTTGTTGGGTTCTAAGGTTCTAATTACATGAAATATTAGGGCTACCAGAAGCTAGTAAAGAGGCCCCTTATTCATTCTCTTCCTAATGCATAAGATTCATGCTGTGGGATTCGAGTGTTTCTGTTACTTAAGGACTAAAGAGCTCGTGAAGTTTTGGTGGTGGTCATAAGACTCATAACCAACATTATCTATGGATGTATTTGGGTTAGCTGGTGCTTCCTTGATGGGGTATTCCTAATGATTGGGGATAGATTATGCCCGTGGTTCTAAATTAATTCTGTAATGGTGCTTGCCTAATCATTAAACATACATTATTGAATAGGTCTCTGTTGGTTGGTTGGATATGCACTGTTTTCTCTTCTCTCTCTCTCTCTTTTTTTTAATTGTCTATCGTTGTGGGAACCATATCAATTACTGCCCAATTGCTTGTTTACCTGATTGTTATTTATCTGGATTTCTTGTTACTTGATCTCATCACTTATGTGTTTGAATGTACATCTTTAGGCATGAACTACTGCTCTTTGAGGCCCTCCGTGAAGGTCTAGAGGAAGAAATGGACAGAGATCCCGCTGTTTGTGTTATGGGTGAAGATGTCGGTCATTATGGAGGTTCGTACAAGGTGACTAAAGGCCTTGCCCCAAAATATGGTGATCTCAGGGTTCTTGACACTCCCATTGCTGAGAACTCTTTCACTGGTATGGGCATTGGAGCTGCAATGACTGGTTTGCGTCCAGTTATTGAGGGAATGAACATGGGATTTCTTCTTCTAGCCTTTAATCAGATATCTAACAACTGTGGTATGCTCCACTACACATCTGGTGGCCAGTTTAAGATACCAGTCGTCATCCGAGGTCCTGGTGGAGTTGGTCGACAGCTCGGAGCAGAGCACTCTCAACGCCTTGAGTCATATTTCCAGTCAATTCCTGGAATCCAGATGGTTGCCTGTTCAACCCCCTACAATGCCAAGGGCTTGATGAAGGCAGCTATCAGAAGTGATAACCCTGTGATTCTGTTTGAGCATGTTTTGCTCTACAACCTCAAGGAGAGAATTCCAGACGAAGAGTATGTGTTGAATCTTGAAGAAGCAGAGATGGTACGACCTGGTGAGCATGTTACCATTCTAACTTATTCCAGGATGAGGTATCATGTAATGCAAGCTGCTAAGACACTTGTGAACAAGGGTTATGATCCCGAGGTCATTGATATCAGGTCACTGAAACCATTTGACCTTCACACCATCGGGAATTCAGTGAAGAAGACTCATCGCGTCCTCATTGTCGAGGAATGTATGCGTACAGGAGGTATTGGTGCCAGCTTGACAGCTGCTATAACCGAGAACTTCCATGACTATCTCGATTCCCCAATCATATGTCTGTCCTCACAGGATGTGCCAACGCCATATGCTGGGACGTTAGAGAACTGGACCGTTGTCCAACCTGCCCAGATTGTTACTGCAGTAGAACAGCTCTGCCAGTGATTGTTACTAGACATTTTAGTTTTTGGTACTTACAAGTTCTAGTTAAGGTGGGATGATTGGTCCATTGTTGTCTACCTGCACCAAAATAGTATTTGGATTTTTAATGTTTTGTTAAGGTAACAAGACTTCATGGGAACATTATCATTGTTTTGTCTCATTAAAGTTTAGCTCTATTTGATAAATTAAAGCTGGAGTTGTCTTACATTTAAATATCATATGACAGGATGTGGTTTTCCAGTTTTGTTTTGGTTGTGGCATTATGGTGTTATATATATATATATATATATATATATATATATATATATCACTGATGGTGAAAAAGTTGTCATTTTTACAAATTCTTGAGATGACCTCATAAGTATGTTGATATGTTCTTCAAGATTGGTCCATCCCTTGCAAAGTTCATCCAAATCAAATCAAAGAAATTGACATAGATATAACAAATATCCATATTTATATATACTTATTAAGTGAGATATCTCAATCGTTTATGATACACATAGAATATATATCATATAGAGATAGTGTAACATAGAATTTGCGCTTAATTTTGATATTTTTATAGGGAACTTTCACATATAGCCATTCAAAAATAGCTTAATTACGCTCCATATCTATAATTTGCTAATTACGATTCGTAGCTACATGTTATAGGGAGGAGAGTCGCGAGATTGGGAGAGGGAGGAGAGATGCGAGCGAGAGAGGGCATAGAATGGGAGAGAGATGAATTGTATATGTATATCGGTTAGATAATTGTATATATGTAATTGGTATACATATGTATTTGTATATGAGGCGAGCGAGATTGAGAGAGGGAGGAGAGAGGCGAGCGAGAGAGGACAATAATTTGTATAATTCACATCTCATTTTGTATAATTTTGCAGGTACGTTTGTATAATTCACGTGTGTTTGTATAATTGAGTAATACAAAGTCTGAAATTATACAAATATGCTAAAACTCGAAATAACGAATTGATACAAACACAAACATGTGAACTTTAAACAATTATACAAATTATATTATACAAATTACATTATACAAAATCTGAAAACTACACGTTTATACAAACTTTTAAAAGTTATACAAAAAAGATTGAATGTATATGGTGATAAAACTGAAAACCAAGGGAAATCATCGTCATATACAAATACAAATCAAACGAAAAATTGTTAGTTGCAAATTATACAAATGTGGCGAATTATACAAACGTGACTAATTATACGAATTCGAAGTCAAACCACGTAATTAATGAATAATGTTAGTTGCGAGTGGTAATTATAGCAAACTATTGCTATGATGACTAATTAAGTAATATAAGTTTGGTTAACCGCGTAATTTTTCCATTATATTAGTTTTAGCATGTTAATTTTTGTAAAAATAAATTCATATTTTAGATATAAGTTTTGTTTTCATTTGCAAAACACAATTTAAAAAAAATAAATATTTATCACTAATTTACTTTGTAATTTTAGTATTTTTCTTAATTATTTCTTACTCATATAATCTAGATACTTTTTTTTATTAATCTAAAAATAGTTAATTCATATTTTTTTTTTGTAATTTTTTTTCAGAAAAATAAAATAAATTCCCACCAGCCATCTTTTTACTTTATCTCAAAGTTTCCCTCCTTTATTTCCCGCCAAACACCAGAAAAACCTTCTAAATCTGGACGAGAGAGAGCAAAAAAAACCAGAAAATGGAGAAATCCGGCGGCGGCGGCGGTTCAGCACCTACTGGGTGCTACAAGTGCGGTCGTCCAGGTCACTGGTCAAGAGATTGTCCGTCCAATCCAAGCAGTTCAGACAAATCTAATCCTAATACGACGAAGTATGCTTCAAAGACCGGATCTGACGCCGGCGATGGTTCTGTTGCCGGTGCTGGTGCCGTTGCTGGAGCTTCTGCTTCTAAGCCGAAGAAAGTCCCGAGGTCAATGCCTAAGCTAACACCGGATATCCTTCTCTCTGATAAAGGACTTGGATACGTTCTCCGTCATTTTCCTCGTGGTTTCAAATATCGTGGTCGCGGTCATGAGGTACTTTGTGCTTTCAAATAAGTTACTGCATCCGCTATCTCTGAGACTAGATATTTTGATTCACTGAAGTACAAATTTTGTTTGCTGTATCTATATATACTCTTCCTATATTTTTGTTCCTTTTTGTTGTATTTATTTTGCATTTGTGTAGTTAAACTGCAAGTAGATGATATTCCTTTTTATGACTGATAGTGAATCCATGTTCTTCAACTAAATTCTGCAAGTCTTGTTTCAGAGTGTCCATTCTCTCTTGATGAGTTTGGTGAGTAGTAGAGAGTCTGTTTTCGCCCATCCTCTATTGTAGCCTCTGTTAACCCACCATTTGAATCCACAGAGTAAAGCTTGTGCTGCAGCCGTGTTACTAGTGCCTTGACCCAAGTTCATTGAGTATGCAAAAATAATGGTGCCTTGGCTGTCTCTGATTATTCCTCCACTGCCACATCTTCCCCTAATGCAACTTCCATCACTGTTAAGCTTTATAGATATCTCAGGAGGTTTGAGCCATTTGACCATGATAGTAGCTCTTTCGTGGATATCAAACACCTGACATAGGCTATTTCAGTTTTCACCTATCCTTGCTTTACCAAATTTCTTTGTGTAACCTGCAAGATTGTATAAACAATGTTAGTTTTGGTTCTGTAAATTGAATGCCTTTCACCTCAAATTTGTTGTTGCACGTTGCTCTCCATAGTTCCCAACAAATTATAAGCTTTAGTTATAAAAGCTACAACGAGATTTTTAGTCTTCAAGTTCCACCAGTTGAGCAATATCATTTTAAGAGAGTTGTGTCTGTGTCCAATTCCCAGAGGTCATGCAAAAACATTCCCGATTTTCTTAGCAGGCTGAACTGGTGCTGAATTTCCCGGTAGAAGTTTCAGTCCAGATAGCAAGATCATCCTTGTTGCTGTTAAGATTGATAGTCAAGCTGCTGATCCTATTCTTATATTCTGTGGAGTGTGGACAGTTGATATTACAGAGCATCCCAGTGCCAAACTGCATTCTTAAACACTGAATTGAGCTTTATTTGACTTTGTTCACTACCACTAAGGAGCAGATGATATAATAGTCTCCAAGCTAGACCAATTATCAAACCAGAAGGTCATATCCCCTTTCTCTAGTTTCCAATAAATAAATTTCTCAGTATTGTGTTTGATCCCACAAAGATATTTCCAGTGTTGGGAGTTTCCTTTAATCCATTGGACATCAAGAGGATGTTGATTATTCCAGTATTTTGCTTTCATGAAATCACTCCAAAGAGATTTAGAGGTCTGAGCTTCCATCACTGTTTGAATTTAAAAAACAATGCAATTGTCTTCAATCCAGTGGTGCTTGTTACCAGTTCCTTTGACAGACCAAAAAAACCTAGCTAAACGTTTTTCAATAAATTCCAAAGTCAATTTTGGAGGGTAAACAACACTGAGAAGATGAGTAGGTAGAGCTTAGAGGACATGTCTGATAAAGATTGCTCTACCACCAGGTGATAAAAGTTTAGAGTGCCGACCTCTAATTCTACTAGTGATGTTTTTGACAATGTCATTGTAGTAAGCCACTTTGTTTTCCTCTCAGTAACCAAGGGACAACCAAGGTAGAATTAATTCTATTTTCCTTGAAACATTTTGTGGCAGTAAGTAAACTTGTTTTCTCTGTATTACTTGTTAAGTTGAAAAGGGAAGTACACAATCATTCATCTTGTGCCTCTTTAAGATGGTAAGTTTGATTGCTTGCATGAAGATGGTGATTGTTATAATGCTTAAGTCCATCAATTTGGTTAAGGATACACAGTCCTTTTAGTTATACTCTTGCGCTATAATATGAACAATTTTGGAAGCGTATGTACTTATACTAGTGGTACTCTAGCATCAGAGTGATTTGTTTATAATCCAATCTTACCTGGATGCAGGTTGCTGATTTGGGTCACCTACTTGGCTTATATGCTGAATGGCATGCGGGTTTGCTTCCTTATTACTCATTTGATCAATTCATACACAAGGTGGAAAAGCTTGGCGGCTCAAAGAGAGTCAAGGTAGCTGCTTTCACTTCCCCAGCTTTGATATTCAATTATGTTAGGTATACTTGTCATGAAATGTGCGCTATCTTTCAGTTTAAAAATATTATTTCTTTTCTTTCACTAGAGCTAAGTTCCAGCATGATTAAATGGAATATATGGAGAAGTTTCTTAGAAAATGGAGACCCTTTAAACATGTATAAATAAAATACTCGGTCTTGAAAATAAAATACCGACAATGCTCTTCAACCCTAAGTCAACGAGATGCTAGATCTATTTTGCTATACTTTTATGATGTTTTGAGAAGTAGAATGTATCTGCATCTTGTAAACTTGACAACATCTGTGGTCAAGAAGTCATCCAAAATTTTGATATTCTCTTGATTGTGTTCGTTTGATTTTTGTGAATAGATAGCTCATTACTTAATCATCAGCATCTTCTCTGTCATATAAGAACTAAGAGGTAATTATTGTTTTAGGTGGACAATCCTAAAAATAACTGCTATTATTTTTTTGTAGTTTTGTGCATATGCCCACTTCAATTTCTTAACTTGAATCTCTTTGGTATAATTTACAAAATATCTCATTATAGTAAATTTGAGCCAAAAGGCCATCAGGTAAGACTCAATTTTTCCTGCTTGGCAACTCTCTTTACGTGCTTAATGCTTAATGGTGATAAATTTGTTATCATGACACTTTATAGGATGTTCATCTCCTTTGTGCTAGTGTCTTCTCCTGCCATATACTATTCGTTTTGGTATCAAACCATGAAAAAGATGATATATCAACAACATTTTTGAAGTAACAATTGGATAATGTGCAATGCCATCCTTCAATCCCTGAAAAATCACTTCATATCACTTAAAAGCCCTCCGATGTTTATGGTCTTGTGTTATTCTTGCAAGGCTTCCTTGAGACACTCATGCCATTTTGGGGTATATCTGGCTTAGCAAATCATTCAGCTGCATCCTACAGCCTGTAAGAAAAAATAGAACATTATAACCCTTTCGACACTATGCAAGATAAAAGCAGAATAAATAGGGACACAACTTCACATATGTTTATGATTATGTGCAAAATCATCCTTTAGGATTTCATCGCAAATTTGATTGCCATAAGAACTTAACCAAGTCATTTCATTTGTCGCTACATAGCATTCTATTATGGAAAGCCTGTTACATGAGTTTAATATTCAATCAACACAGATTACATAGCTGACTTTTAACCAGATATGTCTCTCTCCATTTGCTGCAACAGGGCATCTTCCCCAATATATGATGATTGGAAGATAATTTTTTGTATGACCTTCACTGAACACATGATATGAGTGTTAAAGATTTTATGTTTAATTATCAAGCTTACTAGGGTTTCTTTTTCTTTGAACAGTTATGCACGAAAGGACTACGAGACAGGGTTGCCGATGGGGTGGATCCTGCAAAGCTGTATGAGCCGCAAGTACAAGAACAAGAAATAAATCAACAGGGTACATCTCCATCAGTTCCTATTCTTTAAGTATTCTTATTTCTAATCTCAAATTACTTCCAGCCTGAGAAAGCAGCAATATATGATGACTTCAGTATTTATATCACAAAGCGTATATAAAGTTTGAAAGTATGACGACTTCAGTATTTTAGATACTTAACTTTAATATTTTAAATACTGTTTAAGTTTTAGAATAATGGTTTGAGGAGTTTTTCAAGTGAAATAATGGTTTCTATTCTCAAACATTTTTAGAAAGATTTTTATTTTGAGGAAGGTTTCTTTTCTCAAACTTTCAACTTTTACAAACATTATCCAAGTCAAGTTATGTCCAAACACAACCTCAACTTCTAAGTACTCTTTTCCAACTTCAACTTCCGAATACTCTTGTTCAACTTCATCCAAAATTCTAAAATATTGTCAAAATGGCTACCTACTAAAATCAGGAAGAGGAAATATAGCTGTCTGGTAATTTTAAGAGATATTAAACTAACATATATCAAATGTGAATTTTGATTCTTTCATTGCAGAGTGCTTCATTTTACTTTAACTCTCTTAAGTTTCAATTGTAGTAGTTCTATGTATTAATCCTCAACTATTACATGACATAATTCCACTTCTCTGTTGTTTTGCTGAGTCCTGGGGGAAAAGGGCCTTTTTAAAATCTTACCGGCTTGTACTGTATTCTTCAGTTGTCTATCACGACATGTGTCTATGATCTGTTAATTATGTAAGATTGCATACTATTTGGAATCGAAACATTTAGGCTAAAAGTTAAACTTGATAATTAAGAGCTGTCTTGTTACAAATTGTTATTTTTTTGGGTACACAGTTTTAAGGCCAACTTGACATTCTAGTTTTTAAAGTTCAACATCTAATGTACACAGATATTAGCCCCTTCCTTCTCTTCAAACCTATGTTGCTCGTACTCTTCAAAGATATCGACGGGTGCATGTCGGATCCTACAAAAGTAGTTCATTTTTGAAGGATCCGACACGGGTGTGGGCGTGTGGCAGTATATTTAGAGAGTCCGAGCAACATAGCTTTAAACATTGAAGAACTGCTTTGATGAACAAGTAACTTCATTGAATCCTGTAGAGTTCGAGAAGATACATATGTTTGTCTTCAAAACTAAGTATTATTTTTTCTACAGAATGTGACATGCCTATTTATGCTGGTAGTCATTTGCAATCATGATGGTCACTTTCAAGTGCACTTTTTGTTGATTCTGTGAATAGCAAAGGAGAAATCATGATATGTGTTATCCATAAATAAATTTGCTCTTCTATTTATGAATGCTTGGATTTGAAATCAGAAATTGCATCTCTGCTATATTTGTATGCAGAATTCAAGGACTCAGAACCAACTGATTATCCAGAAGATACAACGCAAAATCCAAATCCTAAAGATGATCAAGAAATCATGCTTAATGATATGTGGGAGAAGGCAATTGAGGTAACCATAATGAAACTTCCAACAGATTTATATGTCAGTGTTTGTCTTATTTCCAAAAATAACTATTAAGTGTTTACTTTGTCTGGCATACTTAACCCCAATTCTTACATCTCATCAGTGATCATTATTCCCTACTAGGAAGCATACAATAGTAGTATACACTAATGCTTTGGAAGTGATGCCAAAGTAATGCGGTCAGATTTCTATGATCCCGAAACTTCTACCAGGTTCATATCAATGCCCTTGGTATATGGGATAAAATTGCCATCTTAACACCCAAAATAAGACCTAGCCGCCCCTTTTATTGAATCACCCCTGGTCTAATAGACTAACCCTATTTCTCGTCTATTTAGTTTCCTTGTTATGAAATTATATGCAGTTGGATACAATGTACACTTCCACAATAGTACACCTGGAAAGTGAGTTGCGTAGGTTGAGGCAAAAATCAACCTAGCCCTTGAAACAATTTGCCTACCCTAGTTAGCCTGTCCATGTGCCATCAGAGAAATTGCCATATAGACCGTTAAAGGTAGTGCAACAGATAGGGGATTCAATCAATTCATTCTAGTGATTTCTTATGTATACCTATATCAAATTATCTGAACACCAGAGAGTAGATTATGGTTATTCCTTTAGCTAGAGCTTAAGGAAAATATCAAGCTTGATCTGCAGAAACCAGGAAATCACTTGCTCTTCAGGGTGTATCCAAGGGAGTGCTCCTTGAATTTGAAGTTTTTTACTCGTTGAAGCTTGAGGAGAATAGCTCTTGGACATAATTCTTGGAGAAGTTTGTTAGAAATGTTTAATATAACATTTCTTGAAAACAATTTTTGTTTGGTTTATTGCTATTTCAGAAACATTTTTGAAACACTTATTGTGTTTGAACTAATTATTTAAGAACAGAAAAAATGTTAAAGAACTTCCAATCATACTATCATATGAAGAGAACTCGCTTGATCACTGGATCCCATAGTTACCTATCTGGCAAGTGACTACTATCTTTGCGTAAGTTTTAGTCTCGCGTGCCACACTGGTAGGATTCAACACAAACTTCGGTTACAACCTATTATTACTCGCTAGTATCCTTAACTTGCCTACTGCAGCAGATAACCATATTATGTTGTGTATTTGGCAGGAGCCATCTCAACCATCCAATCAAAAAATTGTTGCTGCTGATACATCTTCTGGAGGGAATGATACAGTAAATCAGGCTCCAGATAATGTAGCAAAAAGTTCTGGGGTTATTAGCATCTCGGAAGAACAAAGAGCTCGGATGGAGGCTAATAAGTTGAAGGCATTGCAGAGAGCTGCTGCTCGAACTACTCATATCAAGTCTACATAGTTTTTACGTAGAGCTCCATAGAAGTTCCTAACTTATTACTATATCCTTATTGTAAATTGTTTATGAGGTTTTTTCCCTTTCATTAAATGCTGAAAATTGCCGTTATCTTGAATGTTAATACTCAAGATATTGGTCTAAATTCTAAATCATTATTTTGCTCTTGATGTTATGTTATGTTATGTTTTGTTATGCTTTCCATATTATGTGCAATGACTTAGTTGCTCTGTCCTATTTATGTGGTATTTGCCTTTTCAACTGTTTTGTTATGTGCTACTTGAACCAAGGGTCTTTCAACAACCTCATTGTTTCGGTGAGGTAGGAATAAGGTATGTGTACACTTTTACTATCAGACATGTTACAAGGGTTAACACGAACAATAGACACTTGAAGCCAAGTGATATACAAACATATAACAGACCTTAAGTGAGCACATGAATTCAACACACCATAAAACTCATGTTAGGAATATGCCAGCCATTCAAGGTTGATAACATGAAATGAACAACTTGAATACTAACTTTCATATCATTAGGAAAATACTCAAACAAGGAGGGTTTTGCTTTAGACACATGTCTCTGAGATAAGATAAGGTTGATTTTTAGTTAAGTGACGTTGTGAGTGTACATATTATTTGGGCGTCATTTCCTATAAAGAAGTCGACCACGTGACTCGACAAAGTCTCGTGCTATTCGAATGTCGTTTTCTAGCTCTGTTTCCTATGAATTGTTTTATAGCGGTATGGTTACGATGCTTGCTCCGAATAGAAGCCATACAACTTTTCTTTCAGATATCAAAATTGACACATGACTCGACAATACAAAAATAGTAATTCTATAATGACATACCAAATTATAACTTATGTTATCAATTATATACTCCTTTTGGTTTGACAAAATAGATTTTGTTAAATTAAGTTATAACTAAATTTACTTTTTTTTACAATTTATTTTAATTTTCATATTTATATAGTATCCTATAAAACATTTTTTTTTTGATAAACTTTTTTCAAACATCTATTTCCCAAAAATAATTCCAACATTTATATTAGTACTAAATTCAACCAATGAGACATGCAACTAAAATTACAATCTACCCCCACCAATAGTCTTCCAAACCTTTCGCCATCCCCGTAAAGTCCCTTTTTGTTCTGTATATCGTCTCGCTGTCTCTCACCGTCGCCGTAATAATCATCGTCGCCACCGCCGCCGGCGTAGCTCTATCATCCACCCACTCGATCTCGGAGGTTCGACGGTTAACCCTATCTTCGTCTCCCAAAAATCTACTTGAATTTTCGTTGATTCTTCACAACTTCTGCAATTTCTATCGGTACTGAAATTAGGTGAATTCCAGTGATTTTTGCAGGAATTTTGAAATTCAAAATGTAATGGAATGTTTTATATAGGTATTTGGATTAAGCTTTCTTAGTTCCTCTATATGGAGTGGCTTTTTCTTCCTATGTTCAAAATTGATTTTTAAAAAATAAATTAATCAGGGCTTTTTATGCCCTCATTGAATTTGATTAAGAAAGCTATGTTTTTGTTGTGTTTTTTAGTTCATTTAGGGGTAAGGTTTGCCTGCACACTACTCTGCTCAGACCCACTTGGGTGATTACAGTGAGTACGTTGTTGTTGTTATTATAAGTTCATGTATTAAGTCTGATAATTTTTTATCTTTCATTTGATTATCATAGTTTTAATTAGCTGAGCTTGTTTTTGCTTGTACCTTTTTTCCCCTCTGGCTCAAGAATTTCCCTGTTTTTCTTTGGGTATATTGTTGTTGTAAGGTCATGATCAGAGGATTGATCATTGACTATTTCTACTCTAGCTGTTGACTTGCCACAATATTCATAGTTTACCTGGATTTTGGAACGGCTGTACTTTGGAAGCTCACATTGGCTGAGTTGTTTAAATTAGTTGAACAATTGTGTCCAGCTTGAAACTTGAGGTGATATTGGGGCTTGATCAAGCTTCTGCACCAATGTTTGGGCTTTACTGAAGCTCGGCTTTAGAGAGTTCCTTAGGGGCCTCTTTCTTGAGTATACACCTGGTCGATTAAGTGGTTCTACCATCTTACTTCTTGGAAATGATCATCAATTATGGTTAATGTAATCATTGTTCAAACATGGCATCAGTTCCTTGGACTGTGTTTTGAACTGCATAATAATATATTTTATTTTATATCCATGTCATACACAGTGATCTAAATTTAATTTGGTTACATCTCCTGTATATCTCTTTTCCAGCTCCGGAATGGGCAACATGATCACTCACTGTCTTTTATTTGGAGTCAAGTGTAGTATTAATTGGTATTTTTTTTGTTCTTGTTCAATTTATGCAATGTTGTCGCTCTTTTGAATTATGTGTAGAGTCTGTTTGTTTAGTGATGAAGTTAGTTGGCGTCCTGGTCACTGGGAATGTATTGTTGTTCCTGTCCTTACCCTGTTGTTCAGATACACGAGAATTGGTATTTGTTATTCTTTTTGCTCATCAGTTGCATCATGTTGTAGCTACTGTTTTTGCGAATTTCCTCTTTCAGATTGCAATTTCTCCTGGAATCTTTTAGATAATGTGATAAACTAGACAGACTCCCTTTTAAATCTTTGGTATTATTTCAACTGTAGGTTTTACTACATTCTCGAATTTGATTGAAAAGCTAATGATGTGTGGGATTCTCAATCATTTGAATGGGTACTGATAGTCCACTTATGAAGTATACCTTATCCAGAAAGATACAAGAAAAAAAATGAATTTTCAGCAAATGTCGGGGCAGATTTCAGGGCAGGTTCCAAATCAAAGTGGCACTTCTTTGCCTGGGCTACCCCAGCAGAATGGAAATCCTTCTCCTACGCAGATGCAAAATCCAAGTGTTCATCGTACTATGCCCAATATGGAGTCTGAGCTCGTGAGAGTTCGCAGATCTATTTCACGAAAGATGTAAGATATTATATTTCTTGTCTTTTTTCTTTTGATCTTAAAATCAACAAAGGAGGATATTTTTTTTTTTTAACTTGTGTAATTATTTTTTGAACTTGATCAACAAAGGAAGATATCATTTTTCCTTCTAAATAAAAAGGAAGATATCTTATATATCTAGGCATCCATTAGTATTTTCCTAAGGCAATTTATTTCTTCCTTAATCCTATTAGGGAGGGATGTGTGGAGTTGGATGGTGTAGACTCAGGCTGAGGTGAAGAGCTACTAATGACCAACTTGTTTGCATTATTTTAACACATTTTTCTTTGATAACTAAGTCTACTTCAATGCTGAAAGAATTGTTGGTGGAGGTCATATGTGAAAATCAGAGGTTGGATACACATATTTTGCTCTTTAAGTTACTCCAGTACGATTATATGAAAAGCCAAGTCTTCTGCTAGCATTGATTTTTTAGGGAGGCAAAACGGACTGTTAAATTTTCGTTTGCTGGGTCCCTTGCCATTCTCTAGCTCATGTAAAACACCAACTCTCTTGAAAGCTGCTTCAACAAGCTATTGTTCTGTTTTGATTGGGAAAGCTTATAAAAGTATTTTTAGTTAGGAATTTTAGAAAGGACTTCAACTTCGAAATACTAGAGTACGTAGTTGATATATAGACACAACAATAGAGTATGATGAAAGAGAGTAGTTTGAGGTGTTTAGCTATTGCAAAATCTTGTGGTGGGGTTTGTAATCTGCTCTTTTATTACCAAACACTGATTGATTTTGGGAGGTTGTAACCCCTTAAGAGCTTAAGAAGTAAATCAATATTGACCTTACTTATTGTGGGGTAAGCCAACCTGGTGCATGAAATCTTCTGGTTTCTGCGGAACACATACCTTTGATCCCTCTATTTCTTTTGCAAACCATCTGAAAATGTATTTCTAGCAAGTAATAAATGTCCGGCATGGTATTTTAAGAACTTGAAACTGTCCCCGCACATGAGAATAAACACTTTATAAATGCACAGGGATATGGTGTGTGAACGTATAGAGCTTCTTGGGTGCTTTTGACAACTTGAATTATGTTGTTTAATGAGCTTATTGGTTCAATATTTTCAGGTTCTCTATAATGTACTCTCTGTTCAATTGGTCCAAAAAGATGCTCTTGTTAATGCATTGTTCATGATTCTTCTTCCAAACTTCCCAATTATTTGTTAAATCTCTTTTTCATGGAATTGATTCTTCCGCATTGCTACTGAGTTAACTGATGATAACTGATGCGAACCTTACAACTTTTCTATTGTCCAGCTATGATTATCTCATTCGGCGGCAGCAGCAGCAGCAGCAGCAAATCCAGGAGATGCAACATCAGAGGATTGTGGATCTAGTTAAACGCCTGGAGGAAAGCTTGTTTAAGAGTGCTTCGACAAAGGTTTACTGTTGTTCCATTTTTGTTTATTATTTAGTACGACGTAAAAAATTGTGCTATCATGGGAAGTCATTTATATTCATTTTGTGAATGATGCTTCATCTTTTTCATGCTTTTAGGAGGAGTATATGGATCTATCGACTCTGGAGAACCGATTACTTTCTGTGATTAAACGCCTTCCTCGGAATAATCATAGCCAACAATTCTCCCACATAAATTCATCTGCCTCCATTGGTACAATGATACCAACTCCAGGCATGCCTCGAAGTTTGAATGCGTCCCTTATTGGGACATCATCTGTCGACAGTTCTGTGACTGCCGGAAGTACTATTACATCCTCTGCAGTTAACTCTGGAAACTTCGTGCGGACAACCAATTTCCCCTCTGGCAGTATGCATGGTGTTTCATTTATTTATGCTGATGATATTACTTTTAGGCATTATTTCTTTCCAAATAATAAGATATTTACTTCACTCTGGTGTAACAGAACTCATCCTTGCAGGCCCCTTGGCAAATGGATATCAGCAGTCTACATCCAATTTCTCAATCAATTCTGGTGGGAACAACCTGGTACCATCCATGGGTGGACAAAGAATAACAAGCCAAATGATACCCACTCCTGGGTTTAGTAATAGTGATAAGTCCAATAATAATACCAGTGCACAGTCTCACATCAATTTGGAATCATCTAATGGTGGTGCTGCCTTTTCTGGGGTTGATTCCACAACAGTGTCACAGACACTACAACAAAAGCAAAATGTTTCTGGTCAAAACAGCCGTATACTGCATACACTTGGCAGCCATATGGGTGGTGGAATCAGGTCAGGATTGCAGAATAGATCCTATGGACAGTC